TTTCACCGAGACATCATCAAATTCGATATCCTGCCCCAATAAAAATGTTACCCAAAATGTTAATACCATAAAATGTCTTTCTTAAAAATCGTCAGATACGAGATAGTTAAATTTAAATTACAATAATTGACTAAATATCGAATAGCTATTTAGAAAAAAAAAAAGAATTCAATTTCCTCTGAAAATAAATAAAATAATCCGAGGAAGAATTGATTAAGCAAATAGCCGATGACGAGGTGTATATTGATGAATGATTAATGTATGTGGATCGAACATAAATATCGATCGTTTGAGAGGCCCCCCTTTTGATCTACGAGATTACTGTTACGCACGAAAGCGCCTGACGTTCGTCATCGGGCCCTCGGGCCTTTATCGGCCTCGCCCGGGCGACCCGTAATTTAGTCCCTTAACGAGAGAATCGTACGCCTCATTAACGCTAGCTTCCAGAACTCCACGTGCCTTTCGTCGCAAAAGAATAAATTTGAAAATGTATGCGATAATTTTTCTTTTTCGCGTATATATTTATATTGAATATAATATCATAAGCCACACTCATCTATTTTCGCAGAGACGCGTAAAAAGTAAATTAATTAAAAAATCAATAGAAATTCATTTTGCGAAGCTATGAATTCCTAATCTCCCGGGTATCGAAAACGCCGATTTTGTAATTACAAAATTTTTTTTATTCCTCTTTTATTTATTCGCGATATCGAAAAAATGTTTTTATTTATCACCTGTCCCTGAGAGATGTGTAAATATATTATCGGTTATTTCGACGGCCAATTTTTCAGCTGTTCCGCCGAAAAAAGCGGCTTGATTAACGTTCAAACGTCACGTATGACAAACGCAGCGCGGATATAATAACATGTGAATAATGACGATTGAGCGATCTTCGATTTTAGCCCGATAATACACATCGGCGACCCAAGAAGCGTTTAATTGAATGGCCGCTATTCGACGCGAATTATAACGTGATTATTGCGGTGGCTCGCGCGGTGTTTCATGCAGTAACGGCCGCGAACGTGGAAATGGTCGAGCTGGATTAGCGCGCAAGGGACGAAGAATGCACTTATACTGATTAAAAAAAGAAAAAAAAAAAGCGAAAATACTTGTCGCCGGAATGCTTTTAACGAATTAATACCCCGTCTCCCCCGGCACTTTTGCGATACAATATTTACTTTTGCCTCGTAAGTTGTGTTTGCTCGCGTGTGTGCAGGCGGCCCTACGCCACTTAAATCATTTGTCGCAATTTAATAGAATGAAAAATAAATACAAGCAACGCGAGCTTTAATTACGGCGTTAATTATCCTCGCTCGCTGAAGCTCCTCTACCGGCATGGGAGTAATCTACGGGGTTATTACGAATTTCCGGAAAATTATTCGCGAAAAGTGCGGCTATTAATCAACAGCATTTCGTCGTCATTCGAGTACATTTCGGGTATATGAAGCCGGCGATTTATGACAGCGATAACGTTCGTTTTCCCTTTCATACGCCAATATCTTCTATAATTTCCAATTATGCATACATCGATACTAGCCATATTGTCTTATCGTTTCTCTACCACGTTGAAAGTAATTTGCACGGACGAATATTATTATTGCGAGGAATAGCGGTACTTTTTCAAACTCGGCGGTCGAATCGAAAAACACCCGGATACGATTAGAGAGTTAAATTCGCCGATAAGTCGGCCTCGAGGAGAAAAAGGTTTTACCATCATGCGAACGTGGCGATGGAACGTCGTCGACGACGACGAAACGAAAACATGTGCCACGACAGAAAGAGGACGGCTGCGTACCGGTCCGAGAGAATAGAGACCGAAAGGCGAGGAGAGGGAGAGAGAAAGAACGACGAAGGGGTAGAGAAAGGGGACGAAGAGATGCCGCTGTGGAAAAATATAACCTGTTGGACCGCGAAAGAGCGAGAGCCGCGTAAGCACGATGGAGAGAACGAGAGGCACGACAGAAGTTAGAGAGAAAGAGAGAAAGAGAGAGAGAGAGAGGGAGAATGGTGCCGTTAGAGGGAGAGCTTGGTAGAGCGAGACAACCGCAATGAAAGGAGAAGGGGAAGGACGAAGAGAGACAAACAGGACGAACGGGTGGAACGGAGAAAGAGAAGAGAAGGATGCGTATACACAGGCATCCCGAACCTGCCTCAACTCTGACTCGACTTTCGCGGTTCGATTCGGATCCGATCGATCTAGCTCGCGTCGGAGGTAGCACAGCCGTCAGTATTTACACTTTGCTTTCGCTTCTCGGCATAATGCCGTTAGTGTGTGTTGTTTTTCTATACGTGCCCGTCGCTCCTTCCATCCCTCCTACTCCCTCGTTATTCGCCGTTGAGATTTAACGAAACGGCAAACAAGCCGCGTTCAAGGAGCGAGGAGGACAGCTCCTGTTTTTCGGAACTCCAAAGGGTGTAATCCGTCATATTTCCGATGTTGTGTTTGACCGAGCACACGTCGACACGTGATAGTAACGTGTATCGCTACGCGTCCTCAGTACGCATTTAGATCTGTATTCATGTTCCGTAATAAACATCTTGTATACGAATATTATTATTATGATATAAAAATAAAATTTTTTACATTACATGACACAATTGTAGAAAATTCAGATTTTTCTGAAATATGATTGTATGATAAAAGAAAATTTTATCTAACGTTCTGCATTGAAAATTTCATTTATTACGTAAAATGAAAAATTTTCTATGTACAGAGGAATGATTCCTTTTATCGCGTCTTTATTTGTCAGATACGCAAGAAGTGTTCGGCGTAAATATGAGCACTGAACACCACATAAATTCATGAACATAAATATACGACGAGAGCGGAGACAAAGGGATGAGTGGCGGCGCGAGAAAGAAATATAATTCGGATCCCGTGTCATCGGGAGCAATTTACACTGCGCCGGACACGTCGATCGATAAATTAACGAGGCGTGTTCGATACGCGCTCGCATTTTTATCGGAACCGTTCGTCGCGGAATCGCGTTTCGACGGCTGTTATATTATCACTCTGAAAATCGTATAGACGGATATTCGAAAAATTGTTAAGAGGCGGCACTGTCGTTGATTCGTTTCAGCGACGAGCGCTTTGGTCCCTTTTTGCGCCGATTTTACCTTTATCGGCCGATAAACGCGCAGTTTTTAATCACGCCGGCGATATGAACGAAGATTAACAGCGAGGAAGGATGACGCGAGTATTCCGGATTTTTTAACACTTCGATTCCTTTGTATTATTGCCCGTTCTGCTTCGCTTTTGTCCAGCTTAATTGCAAGTTTACTTCCTTGCGTGTGTGTGTGTGTGTCGGACTTACTTTACAGAGATAAACTACATATTTACGAGAGACAGATATTGTATTAAATTGATATTTTAAGAATTCTCTTTATCCTCAATCTATTATGTATTACGTATTATATTGCATTTTATAACTCAAAATCTCTTTACTACTGCAAATCATTTTTTTTATCTAATGTACGCTTTATTTAATGAAATTACAACATACATTATTTTCTTAAATGACAAAAAAGCTCGTGCAAATTACAATTTATGTATTTCTTCGATAAGATATAAATTTTAAATATTGCGTCCGACAGTTGATTGAAGGCAATGCCGCGAACAGCAAGCACGTGTGCGAATCGAAAGCGTTAATTCCATCCAGGGATTATCTTTCGTGCAGATACGTAGGTCTAATCTCGCGCGTTTACTGCAACCGACGAGAAAAAAATCGTGAGATAAGTGCGATCCGACTGAGTTCATCATTGACGAACGTATTGCGCGATTCGCGCCGGACATGTGTCATCGAGGTTCACGCGCGATGATCGTCCGTCGATACTCCCAATGATTTGACGAAAAAATGAAATGTATTGCTTATGGAAATTATTTGCTTATGATACAATAATAAGAGCTTAAAGAGGCGATCGGGGTGCCCTCTCCACGTGCGTAACTAGCGTGTGGATTAATATTGACGATTATACATTGCTCTAACTAGAATAGAAATAAATAATGTTGAAAAAATTAAACTTAGAACATAAAAAAAAGGTTCCGTACCAGCGCATCCTACAATTTTTACCTTCTATTTTACTTGTTGCTACTAATTAATATGCAAATTGTTTCCAGGACATATAATTTTGATAAATTTAAAAGTAAAGTTTCAAGATTTAATTTTTTTATTACTTACAAGTGTATTGAAATTAGTAATAAAATATAAACGAATATAACGAACCGATAGCTTTAAAAGATACACGTTAAATATGAACAATTACATTAGTTTACCAATTTACGTTACAAAAAATGATCTTTTCTCGTATGTACTAGGTGCCTATGTGTATCGCGCGCGAGTATAATTAGGCGAGCGTACTGATATGAAAGTCGAGGAGAAGTAACGAGCATCGCGACGCATTGCAAGTAATTTGGCGCGCAACGCCGAGCTCTGCGCGGAGCACGAACGGCACGAGAACAATTTTTCGAACCCGGGCGCACTTCGCCGCACCTCATCATGTCGTCGCCGCCGCGCGGGATTTACACAACTCTTTCAATTAAAACTTTTCCGCAGTTTATCTTCCCGCGCTCCGAAAAAAATTAGGTTCCGCGCACGCCGTAACGAGTTCAGTAACGGAGCGCGCCGTGTTCCGCGAGCTTTTCGAGCTCTCTCGTCGGAAAAATTCATCGTCGCGGGAGGTTCATCGGTTAAAATAAATCAGCATCATCAAGGTTAACGTAATAAATAAGTAAATCTCTCGCTACCTGAGCGCGTCCTATCCTCGCCGGCGATGTTCCCGCACAATGCGGGGAGACTTTAACCTTGAACTCATCGGCTCATTTGGTCGATGGTTCAGAATGCCTCCCCCCCTCCCCCTCCCGCGGCGCAATAAACGGGAAAAATATTTCCCCGAGCGTTGAACTCGGGTGAACGTTTACGACATCGGAGAAAAAATACTGGCATATCACATGGCGGTATAAATGGTGTGCGTAAATATTGCGCGTGTATTCACGAACTCACCTTGTGATGCTGCATGATGGCAGTGGCCTTTCGCTTCGCAGACATATTTAGTTCGTCAGGGTGTCCTCTCTGCCCCCCTTAGCGGAGCGGGAAATATCTGCCTCGCCGGTCTCTCTATCCGCCCGTTCGCCTCTATCCTTCTTCTGCCTCTCTGTCCTTCGCTCTTCCGTCTGTTTTTCTCTCCTACTGACGAGTCATAGGCGACCACCCGAAGGCACAGCGACAATCACAAGGGACACAAAGGCGCGGGGGAAGGGCGGGGGTTGATGACGATAGACAAATGCACGCTCGTCCCTACCGCCGTCGTTTCCTGTCGCTTCCTCTTCTGTCTTCTTTCCTCGCTTCCGCCTGACGGTTTCCTACGGTGCACGGAACGATCCTACTATCGCGTATATACAGGGTACGAAGTGTTCTCTAGAACGACCGGCACGTCGCCGAGTAAACTTTCTTGGTGTGCCGTGTTTCGTTTCCGTCTCTCTTTCTCTGCTGTTCTCTCGCTGTCGCTCTCTCTCTCCCCTCCTCTCTCTCTCTCTCTCTTTCTTTCTTTATACCGCACGCGCGCGCGCGAGGTCGCACTTCGTCCCACCTTGCGCTCGCGAACTTTAAGCTCTCACCCCGCGCACACCACACAGCACACGGCGGCGCCACGAAAGTTCCGCGATAAAACCCCCCGCGCGGTTAGTTGTTGCAGTAGCAGGTGTCGGCGCCGCGCGAAATTAAAACAAGCCCGCGCACCACCGGAACAACGTCGGGAGAAATGTCCGAACACACTGCGAAAAGTCTCTCTCTCTCTCTCTTTCTTTCTTTGTCTCTTTGTGCTTTCCCGTGTGCTTTTTCTCTTACGCTCCCTCACACGCGTCTTCTCAGCTGTCTCTATCACTGTCTCTCTTGCACTCTCGTTCCCACGTCACGATGCGATAAGCGCGCACAAGGCAGCTTCACAAAGACAACCGAGCCGGTGAAACGGTATTGCGATCAGCTGGTTCGGCCGAACCCTGATATCATATTCCGATCCAACACTCGGGCGATCCTTTAACTCGGACTTTTCTCCACGACGAGTGGAAACAAGGAAAACCGTATTAAAGCGGAAGGTGGGATTAGACACGGTCCTCGTGCACGTCGCGTCCTCGTGTTTGTAAGTCAGTTCGGCGCCCGTATGTCGGCTGACGCTCGATCGAAAAACAAAAAAAAAATGAATCAAAGGCCTCTGACGCGCTGGCCGCTGCTCTTGTCCGCCTTCTCGGAAATCGTCGATCGGCAAAATCAGCTGTGCACGCGATGTTGCCTGCGTATACGCTCGTTCTCTGTGTCGTTTTCAGCCAGAGACGAGATAGCTCCACCACTCGCTGACGTGATTACAGAACGTCCTCACATCACGAGCGCTCACGGCGAACTAGCGACTGGCGACGCGGCGACGACCTCCTCCCCTCCTCTCACCGCCGCACCGCCGCCTCCACGCCTCGCAGTCCCCTTCCCCTTTCCCTTCTCTGGTGTCCTCTCTGCCTCACCCCAGCCCCACGGTAGAGAGTCTCACACCACTACCACGCTTCACCCATACCCCACTCTCTCACTCGCCATCCAACCCCCCTCCCCGCCCCTGCCCCTCTCCTACCTTCTGTCGGTCCCTCCCGCTCTCCCGCGGAACCCCCCTCGTCCCAGTCCTTCGACGATCCGCACCGCTCTCTCGCTCCCCAGCGGCCCTCTTCGAGCGCGTCAACCCCTCTCGGTCCCTCGTTCCCCGTTCCTCACTGCGGTCGGCTTTCTCTCTTCATCTCTGTACTCGGTCTCGCTCTCTCACCCGTTCCTGCTTCT